TTTCTAGGGATGAGGAAAAGAATAAAATCATTTTGCATCGCTTCTCTCGGTAATAAATAAAACAGTAGACGAGGACAAACTTTTTACAAAAGTTATGCTTTGTTCTCTCTCTCTCTCTCTCTCTCTCTCTCTCTCTCTCTGTGTGTGTGTTTGTGTGCGTGGTTTGGGATGAGGGGAGGGGTTACCTAAGAATCAAAGTGAGGAACACGTGTCCACTGTGCCCCCTGGATCCGCCTGTGGGACAATTCCAGACTGGACAAGGTCCATTTGCATGGAATGCCAAGGGGCCAAATAAACAATTGAAAATCAAACATTAAGCTAAAGGGGTTTAATATCTGAACAATCAACATCGACAATATTTTAGAGTGTTATATGCAGATCATTTTTATAGACGTGTCTGTACATGTAGCCGTAACCTGCGCCTGTCGTTGCCGTTCACTTTCAGTGATAACACGATAAGTGGAAAGCCGTTTTACTTTTTGTCTTCAACTAACGGAACCTGCGTCTGTATCATAACTGATAAATATTCATAAAATACAGGTCGAGTCCAAAAATCAGCATGATCGGGCAATAATTTAAAAAAATTTGTTGTTTTTTTCGCTTTTTTCAACATATATGCAACATTGATAACACATTTCAAAACAGATTGGGCTTTTGTCTTGGAACTCACAGGAGGGAGCAGTTTTTCTGAAAGTTCGAAAATCAGCTTGATCGGACCTTCTTAGCTTCTTTCCGGCATATTTTATCCACCATTATACATGAAAACATGAAAACCGTGTCATATTTTGCTTTAAAACTTGAAGGACTGGCTCTTTAGGACTAATACACAGATCAAATCCGAAAATAAGCTTGATCGGTGCAGTTTTAAAGTTATGACTTTTTGTACGCAAGTGGTTTTTCCTCAGATTCAATTCTTAGGCATGTTAACAGTCTCATTATTGAACATCTTAACATTATTGTTAGTTGAATATATAAAAACGCTGTTTTTTGTCTTCAATATAGCACATTTGAGTCCTGTATTGGTAATCTATCACAGAACTTGTTTTTATATGCTATATGTGCTTTACAAGCAAACCAGTCTCTGTCCACACCCGCTACCACAAGTACAAGTTGACGGGAAGATCTTTCCTATCCATATTTCTAACTGGACCGATTCTGCATAACACTATATTTTAAAGTAACAATGATATGAGGTAAAGAGCATTGTTCAGATCCTTTGAAATATTCTGATATTTTAATAATAAAATTAAATTTTTAATTGATTTTGAAACTGGAGATGAAAAAATATTTCTGAGCTTGGCCGTCTGGCGACATAACATCATGTAAATAATTGTGACTGAATGTGAAAGCGTTCGATGTGATACTGTGATGAAATTTTGAATATATATCCAATTTATGACATGAATGAAAATTTTTGTGTATTTTAAGAACTTATTCGTCATACAAAACTTTTTCTGTCAAAGCAAAAAATAACACAATATATTCGTAAGCAACAAGATTAACTTGCCTGGTCCTTTATGCACTCTCTTTTGTTATTGCAGAAAAAGGGAGATGATGCAGACGAACTCGTGATATTGGAAAATTAATGATAACAAAATATACCCTACAGTTTCATAACAACAACAAAAAGGTAGTTTTTTTCTCCTTTAACTCAAGCAGTCGTGAGAGGTATTTGAAGCGCAGTTTTGAAGTTATGACTTTTTGTATGCAAGTGGTTCTTCCTCAGATTCAATTCTTTGGCATGTTAACAGTCGCATTTTTTAACTAATTGGATATATAAAGGTGCTCTTTTGACATTTTCTGCATCTCAACAATATTGTTAGTTGAATATATAAAAATAATGGTAAACCTGTTATTGTGTATTGTGTAGGCCTAATAAAGTGTCAAAAATGGAAATAAACTCATATCATTGCAGTTTGTCTGATTCAATCATTCACTATGTTCAGAATGTCAGAATGGAGCAAATTGGACATTTAAAATTGTTCTATTGATATTTTCCCCTTCTCAACAATTTTCTTAGTTGATCATATAAAAGTGACAGTAAATTAATTATTTTGTTTTATGTAAATAAAGTGTTGAAAATGAAAACTGAAAACTCATTTCAGTACAGTTATCTCTAGGTTACATTTTGGCATTTTCAAGGTGTGACTTTGAACCTCCATGGGTTTGAAGCCCTTTGCTTGTCACATTTTCTGAATATCCATGATACTTCTATTCTATTGTTAAAAATTGATGGTCATTATGCTGTTTAACATTACCAGTATATTAAGATATGGCATCAAAATTGAAGAAAACCCTATTTTGGACACTGCCGCCATGCATGTTGACCATTACGGGATAACCTTCTTACTTATGATTTTCAAACTTACAAAAAAGAAAACAGGATTAAAATGCAGACTGATTTGGAAAAGCAATCTAATTGGCTTCTTTTTCTGGAAGTCAAACATTTTTGTGAAAATTTTATTTTTCACATATTGGCATTTTCAGTATGACATTTAGAACTCCTACTAAGCCGAATGGTAATCAAATTGTCTAAATGTCCATTTTATTTATAATAATAAAGATAATTAAAAATGGAGGTAATTATACCGTTAATCATTGTGTAATATTCCATCAAAACTGACAAAAAAGCTACTGTGTGCACCGCCACCACAAACTTTATAAAAAGAGAGCTGTGTTATTTATTATTTTATTAACTTACAAGAATGTTTTAAGGATTGACATACAGCTCAAATGAGAAAACCAGCTCTATTGCATTTATGCATTTTTTTTTGTGAAATTTTCTCATTCTGGAATTTTCAAAGTGTGAACTTGAATTCTCATGGGCCTGAAGCCTTATGCTTGTTACACATTTTACTTACATCGCTAAATTACCTGTTGTGCTTAATTAAAATTTGATGTTGACTTTTTTTTTTCTGTGCAGTTATAAAAATTTGCAGTGAAGCATAATGTATATTTGCAGCAGAATTGACAGTAGCTTATTTTGTGCATTATCATTTTTTTTGCTATTTTGTCTGTACATTTGACAGCTTTGTTCTAATTGTTGTGCTCGGGACAGAAAACCATTGCCAAATCTGCAGTTACCTCTGATTTTTAAAGCTAGGACTCAATATCCATATTGAGCCTAGTTTTAAGTAATGTTGTAATTCGTATTGCAGAAGAGCTTGCTAAACACCAGTGATATACTTAACCCTAAAGTGATCAAAATGCGCAGAAAAATTACTGCAAATGCCTGGAAAATGCTTTTTAAGTCATTTTAAGCCCCAGAGAGAGACGTTCTATAATTTTTATGGCAAATTCTGACCCTTCTCCTTGCTATGTGCTATGCATTAAACCAGTTTCTGAAATCACCCCACCACAGTGTAGCGCTTGACAGGTCGATTAAAAATATTATGCACATTTTCCACAGACCGATTTCTTCATAGAAACGAACATCTAAAAAACGATTTTGAAGAATGAACTTTGTTCAGTTCAGATTCTGGCATTTTAATGCATAAGCAATTTAGCAGCTGGAGACCTTAATATATTTTGGAGCTCGACAGACTGATGACATTTTGTAAATATACAATTGTGACTAAAAAAAAAAAAAAAAAAAAAGGAAGATTTTCGACATATGAATCTGAAACTTGGGAAATGTTTGTACATCAAAATAACGTATTAGTCATACAAAACTTTCTGTCGAAGAAAAAAATCACAAAATACTATATTCGTATAAGCAACAACTTTAACTCGTGTTTTCTTTTGTATACTCTCTTTGTTATTGCAGAAAAAAAGGACGATGCAATAAAATTCCCGCGTTGTCTGTGCAGTTATAAAAAGGCAACAAAACTATGAAAAGTGGGTCGCCTTTAGGCAATCAACAAAGGCAGAGATCTGTGAAACGAAATACACTCTTTGTGCAGGTGTTATCATATACCCTTTACTGTTAAATTGTTCCATAAATAAAGACGGGAAATCCCCTCTGAAAGCGTTGTTTATTTTTGTCTCGTGAAAAAAGGATAGGCCTCCTTTTGGCATTATCAAGTTTATTGTCTGCCGCTTTTTTTTCTTTCAGATTATATAAACCTTTTAATTTAGCACGTTGATTGGGTCTGAACATTATTGTCACGAACTTTTTCTCAGGACGCCTCTGTTTTGAGACGCCGTGTCAACACTCAGTGCCATCGTGTTGCTAAAGTCGCAGATATAAATGGGAACCCCAAAAATTGCAAAAGGAAGACATTAAACAAAAAGCCCATGGTGAAACATGTCAGCGAATATACATGTATACAAGCGTTTTCCAGAAAATCAGAAGCGACCTTGTTCTAAAATGAATAAACGCGTAAATTGTGAAAATGCCAATAACTATTAAGGTGCTCCATCTACGGTGCGTTATCCAGATACAGGTATGAACCGAATGGCTCTGGGCCAAGATTATGAATGGAAAACTTATCATCATCAGACTCTTTGCCAGCAGAATTTCCCAGTTTCATGATTAGCTTTCAGCAGTGGATTGAGATCATTGTGAGATCATCTCACTGCTGCATATAAAAGCAGCAAGCCAACCACAAACTAAGCATTATTTACTTCCACGCAAGTCAGATACGACACACTTTTTGCGCGTATTGCGCTGTTGTTAACAGCCACGATCTAGAAGCAAACTTGAACTTGGACCTGATAACCCAGTGGCATTGAAGTAAAGCAGATCAACAGTCGGTGTGCAGACATTTGTCACTGCTTTGTGCATTCCCAGGAAAATCGACCCTACTTTGTATCACAAACGAGGCTGGGAGACCTGACAAGAATACAGTCATACAGCCAAGAGGCCACGGGAAAAAATGGAGAAAGTGCATCACCTGGTACCAGGGGTACATCCGGTGAAAGAGAAACCGACGGGGCGCACTGATTGGGTTGGCGTCCTGGAGCACGTAATACCGGTGTTGCTGGTGCAATTGGCAATGGGGATCGGGGTTTTCAACATGATACCAGAGCAAGGGCGACTCGTGAGTTTATCATGGTTAATTTGCTTCTATTACGCTCTCATGTGCTCTCCCTTTTCTTGTAAGCTATCTCTTTTGTCATATGTTTACCTACTCGTTAACACGCAAAGTCGCTTTCTCTATATTGCCGTTGATCAAACAAATTATGAATTATTGAATTGAATTATAAAAAACAATGCATAAAGAATTAGGAAATCAAAAATGGCGTTGTTAGTATATTCTTATTTATCACGGCTGTCGATATAGCTAATTCCGGGGCAGTATCACTTCCGCATGTATGTGTGTAACATTGATGGCCACGAAATGCGCACTTTTAGATGCTCAGAAACAATTATATAACATGCTAGCTCTTTGTTGTCATATGGTTTCCTATAAGGCAGATTAGATAAATTAAGTAAGTTTGCAAATTGATATGGATTTAAATGTAATTTTCTCACCCTCACTCTCGTGTTGATAAAATTTTAAATTAACCTTAAAGACTTGTCAGGTTAAAAAAAAAACAATCTGTCTACCCAGCATTCCTTGCAGACAGTTCTAAGCGCAATGAATTTTGGGTAGACAGACTGGCTTTAAAGGTCCAAATTGAATATGTGAGGTTAAACGTTCAGGGGTATGGTAGTCTGAGAAAAATGATAGACATCTATTTAAGGAGAAACGCTCAGCTGATTATACATTTGATCTATATCAAACAGGTCCAGGAAAACAATCAGTCAGTAGAATATCTATTGGGTAGGGATGGTCGATAAAAAAACCTCACGATTCGTTAAATCAATAGTGACTGGCGAATTGTTTTTCATAAGTTTAGATCCCCTTAATCTTGGTTTGCGATTTGAGGAGAGTACCAAAATAAAATGACATTTAAAACGTAATTTATATTCTTTTGCTTCGCGTCCTCTGGCAACAAATCAACCGTGCATTAAAGATAAACAGAATGTTATACAGCAAAACTACAAACATTAATTTCGATCCATGAAAGAAATAGACGATCATTTCTCTCTAAATGTGAGCAACAGCATTCCTATATGCAGGGCCAGTTTCACTTTCGGTTTCAGGTAAGAGTCCAATAAGCATGCAATCTTATCGGGGAGTATGTAAACATGTAAGGTGAGAGATTAGACGGGTTGCGGTGTCAGTGGGTCGTAAGCATAAAAACCTAGATAAAGCTATCTTTCTCGCATGTGAGATGCTTGATTTTTTTATGCAAACATCTGCAGAATTACATATGTTCCCTTTTCGTGTAGGTTTATTATGGTTTCATCATTGGCCAGCCAACCCTGGCGGTGTGTCTTGTTATTTTACTGTGGCTAAAAGGCATTGCCATCCCCGGAAGACTCAGGTAAGAGATAGCGTACATATAAGATTCTCTTAATAGTAAGGTCATTGTACATGTTGACGATTTTTTCATTGTTTTATGCGCAATCTCACAACGTAAAAGGGATTGTTTTCAGATAATAGGCAATGCTTCCATAAATGCATCAGTGTGTGTGCATGCTGTGTTTGTGTGTGGGGTCCGTTGAATAAAAATAATAATAATAATGATAATAATAACAATAATAAACAAACTCTCAATTTCGCGGAAGACATTCACTTGATGATATGTATTTTGTCGATGTCGACGTTTCCCTTCTTTTTCTTTATTGCATAATTTTTTTTTCAGAGTTTTCTGCGCTTTAATGGATCCCGTATGGAGCTTCGCCGCCCTCACACTGGGCATGTTATTTTTTACACTACCAGGAGATCTAGCGCTCTCCTCTTGTGTTCAGAGTTTGGGCAACGAAACTGAGACCTTTGCAAATTGTTTAAAGAAGACGGAGTTTACGCACGCTTGGCTTCTGGAAAAGATTCGACCTGTCCGTAAAATGACAGACCACGCCCTTGCAGTAGCATTCTTGGTAAGTGGGCTGGTCTGTTAAGATGTGGTAACCGTTTAGCTTTGATATTGGTAGATATGGATGCCCAATAGCCTACGGCCGGGTATAGCCGGACAGCTTTGAAATCTTACAATAAAAATGGCAGTTTTGGCACTTGCAATCTAAAAACTGTTGGTATTCTTATTCTGATTCTAATTCACATAACAGCACATTGCATACATTACAAGTATCTCTAATCTAATTGTGATATTGAGTGGCATCAAAGTGCATTTTCTCGTAGGAAAAAAATTAACTACTGTAGGGAACGAACAAGCGCCAAAAGAAACGGCAAAAACCGCAATGCTAAAATATAAAATAAGACTCAGTATGATACTCAAAATAACCCTGAAAACAAATATTAAAATGACTGTTGTAGTCGTTTATATCTTAATTCATTTATCATTCTACCTTTCCAGAAAGAAGAGAAGTACATCTACGGAGCCGTATTCCTCTTCATTCCACTGGTCATCCACGTCGTTTCGAGAATCAAACAGAGGCCGTTTCTGCCACACTTCGTCGTCACAGTCCTGTGCTCGGAAATGGTATTGGGCGAGCTGTACTGTCTCCTCCTCAATGCTTTCGACGTGGCAGAAAACGAGAGGATTCAGACCCTACTTGTCATCGGCACTGTGTTCGTGGTAGTCGGTTCCAACCCACTGGCGTTTTATCCTTTTTTCACATTCGATGAAAATGTGACAAAAGTCAGCAAAAAAACTTCTCAGATTGACAAGGCATTGCAGGATCGTCACGTACTGGCTGTGATGTTCTATAACAGTGTTTTTCTGAACCTACTGATGTTTTTCATTCAGTTACATGTGGCAGGATCCACAATTGCCTTCGATACATCCTTGGGTGTTGCCAATGCAGTATTCCTCGCCTTGAACGTGGTGGTCCCATTCATCGCCGCCTTAGTAACAGGCTACGTCTGCCAGAAGCGCTATTGCCGCCCAAAGCAATTGCCCCAGACACTTCTGCCGCCTCCTGCAGATGTGTAGTGTAGTTATACGTGTGTCCGAGGGTGGCCGCATGGCTGGCCTCTGTTCATTGATCACATAGGCGGGATACAGAAATTCAACCCCGTCAAACACTGAACTGGCAATGCTTGACTTCATATGCAACGGTAAGAGTTGAAGATATCACATATCTTTTTCATGTTGGTATACAGAGTGAATTCCTTTTGTACTAGAAGCAGCCATTTGTGCTTTGTAAAGTAGCTTCAATGGCATTTTCTAAAAAAAAAATTGATTTGTAAGTACATATACTTTTCAAAAAGAAAGAAAAAAAAAAGGAAATGGGTTTTTCTTGTTGCCACTGTGCTAGGGTTTCACAGTACAGAGCAAAAATCTTGTGGTGCTCAATAGATGCAATGCAAAAGACCATTAACAGTGAACATAGTCGACCTAACTTAGCAGATTTATGAGTGAAACAAGCACACAGCACTTCAAAATCTTTATTTTCTTGTAATATAAGTAGATTTTAGATCTACGTTGTAGTTGCATGTATATAATCATGCTGTTAATATAGGGTAAAAGAAGTATATTAATTTAAATATCAAACTTTATACTGCCGTATTTTTCTACATAATCTCTAATGGATATTGATAGCCACATGCAATTATTTTCTTTAAAGAAAATGTACATAATCAGGCCTGTAGCCAGGGATTCTAAAAGGGGGGGGGGGGGTCCTTAACCACACTAGAGAAGTGAATAGGTCCTGAATAAAATTTGATTCAGAGTGGACCTTTTTCTGGCAAAAAGGGCGGTTCTTTTGAACACCCTTGCCTATGGGCCTGATTGTAATGCTCTTCTAATTATACTCATTTTCATTCCATCTCACCTTTGAACAAGCTTGATACCCATTTTGTATTACAATTTCCATATTTTGTATCATCATACTCTGACAACACACTGGTAGGATTTTATTTGACATGTAATACGTTTATTTATTTGACATGTATATAATGAAAATACTCCATGAGTATATGATAAAAATACTTAGGGCTCATTTCCATTGAAACTATTGGTCAATGTAAATTGATTCAACTCCACAGGGACTCTCGCTGAATGCAATCAGTTTAACAAATTTCAACCTCTCGTTTCCAACATTTTTGCATAATCAACAGCTTTTCTGTATTCTACTATATACCATAAGGCAGCATGTAAATCTGTTTATCTGGTTGCATTCAGGGAGTCCCGCAGTTGGATGGATCTACATAGGGACCATTTCCACAGATATTTAGATCGATCTATCTCCCTGGGGAGTCTCACTAAATTGATGTAAACTGCCCGGCTTAAATGTCTGTCATGCCTGGCAAAGCTGTTAGGGGGTAATTACCTTTACCCCCTAGCTGATTCCGTAGGCAGCAGTTTAGTGAGACTCCCCAGGGAGTTAGATCGATCCAGATGGATTGATCAAAGCATGGGAACCCAGTCTTAGAGTGATAGTTTCAATAGGAATGAGCCCTCTGTATACAATAAGTTCAAGTTGAAACTTGATTTATAGGCCATGATTTGTGATGGATTCACTGTAGCCTTTTTGTCTTAATTTCGATCAAGTGGAATTAGAGTTTTGAGGAAGAACAAAACTGACTGTAGATGATTGTTTATTTTTTATTGTTTCACTGGAATTTGTCATCATTTTAAGTCCTTGTTAAATGTTTAATATTTTTCACAGAAAATTGCTTTGCTCATATCAAAAGTGAAACACAAGTTTAATAATCTTAATAACATATATTTATTTCAAATAAACTATTTAAAATAACATGTTGTCCAGACAACTAATGTAAGAAGAAAAAACAAGTGGAGGTGGAGCAGTGGAGACACATAAGGTTTTTGATGCAAGTGCTTAAATTGCTACTTAAAAAAGCTGTCTGTTTGTAGAATTGCTCATTGGAGTAACATTTGATATTTTAAATAACAGTATAGAGGTTTTTTATTCACACTTAATGTGTTGTTGTGCTTTTAAAGGGATTAAGGGCTGTTTTTCAAATTAGTATTCCTGTTTGCAATATTTGATATTTATATTTGTCTACAAAAGACAAGTACTCAAACCAAAAGTCCTCTCTATCATCAAACATCATCTGTATACAAATATCCAGTCAAGGGTCCTTCCTTGCCTGTTCTTTCCTCTTCTGTAAAATGTTCTGTATGAAAAATTCCCCTAAAATAATAATTATAATAATAAATCAATATTGATTAATAAAGTGAAGGTATTATTATTATTTCAATTGAAGTATGCAATTATTTTTCTAACATTATCCAGGCATTGCCATTTAGTATGAACATTTTAAAAGTGCCCCCCCCCCCCCCATACCACTTGTGTCATTTTATACCCACTTACCAGACTGACTTCCTCGAAAATCTTCCCCTTATCATTTTAAATTGTTCACATAACACATATTAAATATGCATTTCGCAATGATTCAACAAAATGAACAATTATCAACTGCTCAATACATACAGTATATATACATATTATATATCATAAGATTTTTATTAACAATTTTGGTCTCTCTGTCCACTACTTTAGTAATGCCAGTTAGGCAATTTCTAGTTTAAACCCAGGCATGCTGAAAACTTTTAAGAATGGCCGAACATTTGGACTGGCAGTAATGAAAATTTTGCTGGACTGAATGGATTTTTGTCGGACCGAAAATGACCCTATTCGTTTGAGACAGATGCTACCATTTGGTGGCTTACTTTGTTTGTGAATGGGATAGGTTTGAAATGGAAGGGGGAAAAATGCTTTGGGTTTTATGTAATGTTATTAGTGAAGTATGTCGAATGATGACTGTGAATTCAAAATTGCCGTTCTTAAAACTCTTGTCGGTCCTTTGGACTGACCGAGTCCAATTTTTTTACTGGTCCAGACAAATTTTCCCGGTCATGACCGATCGGACCGACAGTTTCAGCATGTCTGTAAACCTGTCCTGAACACACCTAAAAAAAACCAGGCCTCACACATCCAGCCTTTACTCCTTAAATTTTCACCCACCTGCTTTATATGACGACCTGACCAGAGGACCACTGGCAGTATACAGGAACCCCAGCTTATTGCCCACCTCTTCCCAGTGAGCAAACTTCTCTGGTGTTACATATTCCTTCACCTGAAATTAAAAGTGAACATGATTTTTTTTTCTGAAAGTCAAATCCACTGCCTGGATCAATGCCATCTACAGTACAATAATTTTTAAAAAGCTAAAATGAAAGAATGAAAAGAAGTGAGGTCATTTAGGACCTTAGGCAGGGAAAAAATCTGTCTGAGAAAAGGTCTGCTATCCATCAAAATTTAATCTAAGTTCTATTCTAATATGGCCAAAGACTTTTTTTTTCAGAAAAAAAGCCACCCCCTTAGAAATTGCTGGCTATAGGCATGTTACTCTATAATTTACATGTACTAAGCTGCCTAGATTGTAGCATCCTGAAAAAATTGCCACAACAAAACATAATAACCTCAACTAGAAATGTCATTAATTTGGTTGCTACAAGTTATCTACAATGCAGTATTGTATGGTATGAAAGTTATGACTTAAAAATCATTGAAAAAAAAAAAACTAAACACATACTTTTAAATGCCTCTTAGTTGGCTGCATATACTGCCCCAGTGTCACACAGTCGACATCTATCTGCCTCAGATCTGCAAGTTGAATACATCATTAGATAAAATAACTGACAGGTCGTGTTGTGCTGGACTTTAAAAGCATTTTTTACCTCTCTCTATAATAATTTTTTAAAGATATACTACTTTTACAAAACTAAAACCAAAGATTCTCTAATTGGGAATTCAAGAGGCTCAGTACGGCTATCTATGTCTATTAGGTAAAATTCAACTAAAAATCTACATTGCCACTGGTCTCATTTTATTAGCCTTAAAATTAACCTTAAAAACAAAAACACAGTGTGAGACATTTACATCTTAATCTAACCTGAGATATCACAAGAACCCTAATCATGACACCTATACACTTAAAGCAATAAAGAAAGAAAAAAATCTCTGAACATTCATTGTGGGACAGAACACTTTATCAGCCATGGGTCTGGGACGCCATCAAAATTGAAATATAAATCTTGGATTGCCATGTTTCTGAAAAAGTATAGAAGGCTACTCAACTTTATAAGTCTAACCTTAGAACCAAAACTTCAGACTTAATTTACCTTCAAGTGTCTCCATGACCTGGTCATCAGTCTCCCCCAGTCCCAGCATTATGGAGGTCTTGGTAATCAGGGATGGGTTATATTTTTTGGCATGGGACAGCACCTGCAAAGACTGCTCATAGTTGGCTCTTGGATCTCTGACACACCTGGGAAGGCAAAATAAACATACTCACACATACTGGTACATGTTCAGTACATCAATCACAGTTTCAGATCCAATGCACACCAGCTTCGTCACTTTCAAATTTCCCAACATGCCCGTTTTTTTTTTTATTATTATTATTGAAGATTTCAACCAAGCCTTGATTTGGGCATTTAATTAAAAATCATTCAATTAAAAACGATTAAACAGATTCCTTATTTAAATTGACTGTTTACTTCCTTACCACTGAAGATCCCTGACGGTCTCTACATTGTGTGCGTAGACGTCTAATCCCGAGTCTACCACTGTTTCTACTGCCCTCAGGTCCCCGCGGAAGTCTGGGGTCAAACATTCCACCATCATAGAAGGGTTGCTGCAGAAAAATTAAAACCAAAGTAAGATATTAGTTTCTTTCTTTATTCTTTTACTTAATGATACATGTATCACAAGATTCTCTTTGATTAAAATAGTGTAAGAAGTGCCAATATCACTCACTGGCATAAAAAGGGTAAGAATATTTCTCTAGATGACATGCCATGTACGTGCTGAAGGTAGCATTTTCTCTGCTTTCTGTGATTTTGCTACGGAGATACCTTACATAAAATCATTCATCTTGAAGTCAAGCTTTTAGAACTGCTTTAGCACATGACCACACAAACACTTTCAGTCTTACCTTTTTTTGATCTCTATGACAGTCTGAGCAAAATGACTAGATCCACCATCTGACAAATCTTTTGAATGAAAAATAAATTCAATACCTTAACACGCATCAGAATACATGAACTTAATCAGTAAAAAAAAAAATAATATGTATTTCATGAAATGGCAATGCATAAAAAGTTGCTTAATATCTAGCAGTCTTGACAGATGCAGATGCTAGATAATCAATTTCGTTTTCACATCACACAAATATGACAATTTCAAAAGTAGATGCATTACATGCGCTAGTAGCATATTTATGGAAACTACTTCTTTCATATTTTTGTATGCATAATCTCATTCATCTAAGTTTAACTCAAGAACTCATGGTTTTCAGAGAAGCAGGCAGGCCTCAGCATGGGTGTGTCTTACCATCCCTGTCCACAGAAGTCAGCACCACATAGTCCAGCCCCCACTCTGTGATAGCTTTGGCAGTATTCACTGGCTCCTGGGGGTCAGGTGGGGGCGGGGCACGGGAGGTCTTCACTGAACAAAACATACAGCCTCTGGTACATGTGTCTCCAAGAACCTGAAATATGTTGTATATATTGTATTATATGTTGCATATTATTGTATTTCATTCACAGGGGCCTATTTCATAGAAGAGCTCAAGATTGAACTGAGCTCTTTACTAAAAGATCAAAATTGTTTGTGTGGTTTTACCCAGGATTATTCAGCTCTGAACTTGTGGCCCACATGAATGTGAATACTGCACCTGCTTTATAAAGAGACATGGCCATAATGCTCTGGACCAAAGTTTATACTTAATGTCAGTATACTACTACAAATTTATCCTTAATTGAAACAGACCACTGTTCCTGTAGTTTCTATTCTTGAATTAATTCCAACTTTCAGTCATAATTTTTTGGGGAAACTAGCGCTATATATAGCTGGGGCATCTCACACTGAAGTTCATGTTGCAATATTTTTTATGAGTATCACTTTGCTTCCCCCAACAGACAAAGAACATTGGCATATAGTACAATCAAGCACTTTTCTTAAGAAAAGCAGAACTACATTTATATTTTTCATTGACTTCCACCTACTTCCAGCTCTGTAATAAAAAGGACTTCTATCTGAATCTCCCATATGTTGTCTTATTTTTTAAGAAAAACATATTTAAGTGTGTCATCAATAAACAAAATATAAAATAAGTGACTGCTACATCTACAGAAATGTATTTTCAAGCTAATATGAATTCCTGCTCTTTTGTTTCAACAACCCTCCTTTTATTCTACAATTCATACCTTAATAATATAATTAATATTATTCACAAGTGGCATTCATTTAAATTGTGTACGAAAATTCCTATTCATGAGATAAAATAAAGGTCATGTGAAGGTTAACCATAATGGTAGCTGTTGCTGTGCTGTGTTCTCCTCCTCCCCAACATTCTCCTATATTAGGACATCTGGCTTCTTCACACACCTGAAAACATAATAGTTGAAATGTAGAAAATCAAGGTTCTCAGGTCTAACTAACTAAATAAATTAATAAACAAATAAATAATTGTATCAAGAGATATTAATTTCTTCTTCTTATAATTATTATTATCAAGTTTAAAACTTACATTTGGCTTGATATATGTAACAAAAGACCTCTTTCTGTGGCATTTAAAACATTCCAAACATGCAACATAACATAATAAAGGAAATAGCATCAAGCAATACTGGGTGTTTTTTCTCTTTCATATCAGCAATGGCATAACTTAGATACATCAAGTACCCTGTAATTTTTTTACACTATCAGTCAAACCATTTCATCAGCTGTTTGCAAACTTACAGTGTGGAGTTTAAGATCTCTGAGGTCCTTTCTGAGCTTGGTGTAGTTCTGTCCTATTGGAATGTCAGTTCTCAACCATGGTGGCAGACGCAATCTGTTTATTGGAGAAACAAAAAAATAGTAGAACAAATAACAAAGTTATATTTACCATCAACAAATTAAGATCAAACAGTGTAAACACAAACAAATATTCAACAAATCAAAAACACAATTAATGAGAAAATTTACAAAAACAGATCAACATTGTGTTTAAGGTCATGCACATGTTATTACACTTTTGAAACAGTCAGTGTATCTTTTGCATCAAATATTTTTGTTCATATTTCTCCAACTACAAATGCTTCATAAAAACACACAATTGATGAACAATTACTAATATTTAGATAATTCACCAAACCTTTCTTTTCTCTTCCCTTGTAATTTTAAAGGATATGACCAAGATTCTGTCTCTGGTGTATTTTCCTGTATGAAATCTTCCAACCCTGGTCCACTGGCTATTCTCTCCTTCTGGTGCTTTGTAAGATTTGAATATGTCTTAGATTGGCATACCATACAAGCCTAAAACAAGAAAAGACCAGCTAATTAATCAGTCACTTTTTTGTACTTGTTTGTTTTCTTTGTGGAATGCCTGATACCAAGCAAAGGGAATTTTTAACATTCCATTCCAAATCTGTATCTATATTTGTTAAAGATGACCCCCCAAGTTTTGTTTAATTAAGACTAATATTTTAGGATGTAAAGATTACTGGCACTGCTGTATGATTGGGCTTAAGACAAAACATTGTGTCAAATTATATTTTCTCATAATGCCGGCATTTGCTGACCAAATTTTCTTCACTTTGCCAATTTCACATGCATGTTACTATGCTTCAGACCATCCCAGTACCAAATTTTAAACTCTGTGTCTATGTTCAGTTCCTAGAATTCTTATGTGACAATATTAAGAGGTTAAAATTAAGTTGGGCAACCTTCGATTCATTTTTGAGAAAGACGTCTTAAAAAATGGAAACAATGAAAAACAGTGCACATAAAACACAAGTGTCCGTTTATCTTTAAATGTGAAAGCTAAAAACCATAACATCTTACTCAGCCTTTTTACGCAGTTATCTATGTTTTAAATAATTAGAGACTACTGCACTGGTACAATTTACAAATAATTGAGAAAATGTGTGAAACCTTAGCGAGTGTATGACAGTATGAGTAAATATTATGAATGTTTATTGACCCAACCTTTAAACTGAAGGTACAATTATTTGAGACTTAAAGTACAACATATATAAACAGCTAACTATGTACTACAGGCGGATGCCTAGTACATGTAGTTGTACTGCAAGACACTATATGTACAGTAATGAACACGCTTTGGTTGACTGCGGTTGAGTAACAGAAGTTTCACAGGAATGCACTAACCATTACGTCATTTCTCGTTGACATTTTAATTTCAACACATTCTCACTTCAGGCTGAATGTGCGCTATAAAAATATAGAGTTGACGAAAAACTTACCGTAGGATACGATTTTTGAATACGAGACTTAGCAAAGCAGCTGACAATTTTTGTGACACTCGCCATTTCACCTTGACCTGAGTTTAACCTATATAGTTTGACCTCATTTTCAAGATATTCTTGCTCCGAACTATTTCTAAATTTGTCTTTGATAAAATGGCCAAACGGAATTGAATTCTAACATGTGCCATCATTAATTTATAGTTTAAAATGAACCTAACTTTAAAAATGCATCCAATGTTTCCGTTGTGTAGTTTGTTAAAAGATATTTTGTTAAGTGCGTTCTATTTTGTGTAGTCGACAGTAAACTATTTTGCGTAGTTGTTCGGTCATTTCCGGTGAAGACGATCGACCGGCTGATTTTGCCGAGAAGTTTACGGCGAAGTTGTTTGCAGTGTCTTCACCGTTTTAAGGTATATTAATTATACACTTAAATTTTGGTTATGTGTACCTTTTTCTGAATATGGATTTTGACATTTCAAATGCAACATGTAGATAGAAAAAATGTTCCTTGTTTATCTAGTAAAAATTTTAAGTAACGTCAAAGGTCGCATAATTACGAAATGTCGTTGTCACTAAGGAAGACAGTAGACTGACTCTACTGTATTCCCAAGTCATGGCCTGTGTTTTCAGAAACATGACCTATAAAATGTTGTTATACTGAAATAGCCATATTTTCAGTTTTCCTTCGATGGTCGTTAAATTGGTAAATTGAATTGCCAAATTAATTTATTAGTAAGTCGCCGCACAGTTGTAAAAAGAATTTGAAACAGTTGTAAATTGGGGGCGGGGGGCGGAGGCAAAAGTGCCAATAAATTTAGATAATTGAAATGCATATAGTAAAATGATTGCATAATTTTTTAAAAAGTCCAAAATCGAGAATCAAATACATATTCACATTCTAAACCGTAAAGTTTGAGGTGGCACTGATGAATCCAGGAGCTAGGTTATGAAAAACATATCATACACACATATATACATGTTTTAGTTTTCAAATGAAAAAATATGAAGTAGGGCATGTTTACTTATAAATATGTAAGACGCCGGGATGAAAAATTTTGTGGTTTTGTCCAGCATTATTCGTGATACTTTTTTCTGGGAATGTGAAGGGGGTGCTTTAGAAGTCAAGGGAGGTTCACATCTTCTGTGCTCCCCCCCCTCTCTCTTTCTCTCATCCCCCCCCCCCCCTTGATCTGTTATTGAGTGGGTAGGACTAAAACATTTAGTTCTCTCCACGCCATATTTTACCAACATAGTGATGACAATTCCATACATAATTTCTTGCTGGTATTAAAAAAAGTATTTAGAATTAGCCAGAGATATATACTGTGAATATCTGGTGAAAAAGCAAATAGAAAAGGTAGAGGGTAAGTTCTCACCAGGAGTCATGGATGAATTTTTGCATGGTGCATTTTGACCTTTATTGAATGTCACAGCGGTGACTTAAGAGGTAGGTTGACGGGTAGATTTCCTTTGAGCTTCATACAGACATGGGAAAACTGCCTGTTCATCATGTCATGACCACTTGAAATACCAGAGGACCTGCAAAGTTTTTCATATTGTATGTCCTCTTTACTGAAAGGTGTAAGTGAAAATAAGGTGCATTATAATGATAATTACCTGTTAACATGAATTTACTAAAATAAAATACTTTGGTTGAGCCAGCACAGAATTGGGAGGACCAGTCACTTGCATATTTCTTGTAGTGCAGGTCCTCCAAACCTTCAGAACAACTTAATTTTCATTTTCACCATTTCTGATTCATAACATAACAAAGCATTACTAATGAACTCTTTAGAATTGGTAAAGAAGGCCATCAATTAGTGCAAAATCAAGTGGGATTTTGTAGGATTTCAAGGAGAGGGGCTCAGAAAAGATGGCAGAAAAGCAAGTATGATTATGAATAAAACTGACGGAATTTATTTCGGAATATTTTTTTTTTGTTGTTGTTAAGTTTTGCTATTTAAGACAACATTCCTTGTGGGCCTCACATGGCTTTTCTAGTATTATATAACATCATGAGGAGGCATTGCAGTGAGTTGGTGCAAAATGTAAAGGGTAAGTAAGGCTTACAAGATATCTTCAGACATTCAGTTGCAGTACTTATTTATTGTCCAAGATGGCCTAAAACTAGGTTGTCAACACTGTGCGGTGCTATAAGAGATCAGAAAGTGTACAAGAAGCAGGAAGAGGTGGGGTTATCTTTTTGGGAGTAATGTGCAGGGAATGATATCTTAATAAACAGTACAAGACTGACGCGCAACGTTTGAATCCTTGCTGATATACAAAAGACTGTAAATCAACAGAACTTGAGATACAACAACTTGCAAAATAGGTCCATGGATAAATTCTGTCGGTTTCATTAATTGTCATACTGCAGTCACTAGTCTGACTATGGTCACTTAACCTGCAAAATTTTGCTTAATGTTATGCAACTAGTAAGTGACAAATCTTTGAGCTTTCTCTGGCAATTCTCTTTGAAGTGTCTACTTTACTACGTCAAGATTTTTGTAACTTGTACCTTGAAATGCAGCCGTGAACTACATATTGTGACTACATATGAATTAAAGCTGTTTTTCTTTCTATTGCTCATGTCATGTAAAGCAGTGACATGGAGCACAATTATAATATAACAAGTGCATCTGGTTGTCTGACACAGATGTTGTTAACTAAGGAAGGCAATCAATATTGGCACAGTGACATTAAAGATCTGTTTTCATATCAACATACATGTACACTGAATGCTGAATTATTCAGTAAACACTACCAAGTTTATGTGTTACCTGTGCATTATTTACCTGTGGGGACCATAAAGGGGAACTGAATTTATTTGGCAGTGCTGACTTTATTGAGATTAAGACTGCATTATCCTGCATTATTGCCAGTCTTGCTGAAATCTACAAATTAACGTTTTACTTTTGACTCACTCTCAATTCTGTAATACAATTTAAAACCTTAACATATTGTACCATGTGCCATAATTATTAACCATATAGACCTTACTTTGCTTACATTACGTTTATATAAAACATTAACTCTCCTGATTTGTGATGGTTTAATGTAAAGGCACTAAATTAGTGCCAGACCTTTATATAAATGTAAAGTGAAAATTGAATTTTCCTGGAAGTTTCAACAGTATATTTCCTTAATCACTAGCTTAGTTAATCCTAATGCAAATCTGTTTTCAGATTTATGATCCATGACCTCATCTTTGAGTTAAACACTTAGTTTCTAATTATGTACAGACACAGATGTGTCTGTACATATTGCCATCACCTGCGTCTGTCGTCGCCGTCGCCGATGCCGATGCCGATGCCGTCGCCGTGCACTTTCCTTGTAAACACGATAAGTGGAACACAGTTTTACTTTTTGGCTTTATATTTACAGAGCTGATGAATATTCATAAAACGCAGGTCAAGTTCGAAAATCAGCATGATCGGGCCATTATTGTAGAAGTTATGCTGTTTTTTCACTTTTCAGCATATATGCAACACTGTAAACACATTTAAAGGAAAACCAATAGGCCTGTTGTCATGAAACTTACAGGAGTACTCAATCTTACTAAAATGCAGGTCAAGTTCGAAAATCGGCATGATCGGGCCACTATTTTAGTACTTATGCTGTTTTTTCATTTTTCAGCATATATGCAACACTGTAAACACAATATAAGAAAAACAGATAGACCGATTGTCATTAAACTCACAGTAGTGGTCAATTTTACTTAAACACAGGTTGAGTTCGAAAATCAGCATAATCGGGCCATCNCTCCATATTTTACCAACATAGTGATGACAATTCCATACATAATTTCTTGCTGGTATTAAAAAAAGTATTTAGAATTAGCCAGAGATATATACTGTGAATATCTGGTGAAAAAGCAAATAGAAAAGGTAGAGGGTAAGTTCTCACCAGGAGTCATGGATGAATTTTTGCATGGTGCATTTTGACCTTTATTGAATGTCACAGCGGTGACTTAAGAGGTAGGTTGACGGGTAGATTTCCTTTGAGCTTCATACAGACATGGGAAAACTGCCTGTTCATTATGTCATGACCACTTGAAATACCAGAGGACCTGCAAAGTTTTTCATATTGTATGTCCTCTTTACTGAAAGGTGTAAGTGAAAATAAGGTGCATTATAATGATAATTACCTGTTAACATGAATTTACTAAAATAAAATACTTTGGTTGAGCCAGCACAGAATTGGGAGGACCAGTCACTTGCATATTTCTTGTAGTGCAGGTCCTCCAAACCTTCAGAACAACTTAATTTTCATTTTCACCATTTCTGATTCATAACATAACAAAGCATTACTAATGAACTCTTTAGAATTGGTAAAGAAGGCCATCAATTAGTGCAAAATCAAGTGGGATTTTGTAGGATTTCAAGGAGAGGGGCTCAGAAAAGATGGCAGAAAAGCAAGTATGATTATGAATAAAACTGACGAATTTATTTCGGAATATTTTTTTTTTTTTGTTGTTGTTAAGTTTTGCTATTTAAGACAACATTCCTTGTGGGCCTCACATGGCTTTTCTAGTATTATATAACATCATGAGGAGGCATTGCAGTGAGTTGGTGCAAAATGTAAAGGGTAAGTAAGGCTTACAAGATATCTTCAGACATTCAGTTGCAGTACTTATTTATTGTCCAAGATGGCCTAAAACTAGGTTGTCAACACTGTGCGGTGCTATAAGAGATCAGAAAGTGTACAAGAAGCAGGAAGAGGTGGGGTTATCTTTTTGGGAGTATTGTGCAGGGAATGATATCTTAATAAACAGTACAAGACTGACGCGCAACGTTTGAATCCTTGCTGATATACAAAAGACTGTAAATCAACAGAACTTGAGATACAACAACTTGCAAAATAGGTCCATGGATAAATTCGGTCGGTTTCAGTAACTGTCATACTGCAGTCACTAGTCTGACTATGGTCACTTAACCTGCAAAATTTTGCTTAATGTTATGCAACTAGTAAGAGACAAATCTTTGAGCTTTCTCTGGCAATTCTCTTTGAAGTGTCTACTTTACTACGTCAAGATTTTTGTAACTTGTACCTTGAAATGCAGCCGTGAACTACATATTG